AGCAGTTTAGCAGGTTGCGTGTAGAAGGTTACTTGTGTAACCGATCAAAACGTCCTGTGCAAACGTGTAGTAAAATTTTTAAAATAAAAATCGCGAAGGTTTCCGGAATATTTTTGAAACTGTCAACTTGACAGTGATGAAATTTAGAACACAAAAAGTAGCGTTCACTGCTTACCCAGGCACTTCATTTGGATCTTCGATACGCTGACGCGTTTCCTCATCCAGATTCAACCTATGCAGGGCATCTTTCGTATCTACATAACGCACGATGATAATCAGCAAAAAGTAGCCAAATGTCTTTTCGTTTTCCCATTTTTTTCAAAGATAAATGTCAGATTTCGCACATTTGAATAATGTGGGATTTCTCACGTACGTTTCAGGCTTTTCTCGGCGCCTTTCCCCACCGGTTTAGCTACGTGGACGATAACATTGAGGGCGTCGGAGATGTCCACATGCAAGTTAGTGGTGCCGTGATTCGGCTGTCCGGCCGCGCCTGCCAACAGTATTCCTCATGCACAAATAATTTTGAGAGAATCTGTTAATTACACAGAAAATATGTACACTATTCAAATACGTATTCGAGGCGTATGTGCGCATAATACGACGGACGAATAACCTAAAAGTATATTGAGTTTGAAAGCAGTTCCGCATTCAGCTGCGATCATGTGAAAAACTAACGTACAAAAGCATCGAATTACATTATATCGCTCGTTAAGTTACCAATAAAGTAACTTCCCGGGTAACTAATGTATGAGTACAGTCAATAGTTTGTCAAGAAATTTCTCCGCATCTGTTATTCGCTTACCGTAAGCAATGTACATTTTGGGTCCGAGATCGGGCGGATTGGACTGGCTGGGTAGGTAGCGGGAGAGATTGAAAACGCCGGTGATGTTGGAGTAGCTGCCGATGGGCAGCGCCCGCATCAGGTCGGCGTAGTGATCTGCCAGTTTTTCACGAAATGTAGCATTTGTCGGCCAGTCTTTGATCTTCAGCAGACGCGGCACTTTGTTTTTATTCCGCAGCCGCTCTGCATACGCACGAATCATATTCATTTACAATTATCTCATAATCACCTACCCTAACGAAAACGTTGTTAAAGAAAGTGGCCCGGTACATTGTACCAAATTGGTATACATGCATGAAATCTTTCACTTTCGCCCACACCCAAACTCATTTTTGTTTCGGTTTTTGATATTCTGCAGCCAGATGATTGTATGCACTGGCGTGAAAACCATTTTTGCGTGCAACATCCGGTTCGAAAGTTATGGCTGTTAGAAAATTTCAAAAGGATTAACTGCATTCCGTTGTCTCACTATAGGTCTCATTATAACCGTTACCAAAAGTCTCATTACAGTTCGATCGTTTTCAGATTTTGCATGTAAATGCAAATAACCCCGAATAATGTTTTTACACTGATCCACTGGTCTAGCATGTTTTTCAAATTTAAAATTAATTTAAAAATAAAAAAATGTGAAAATTCATTTTAAAATCTGGAGAAAATCGTGAAAATCTTTTGGTACACCTGCAAGCATTTTCATTTTTTGAAATTTCCTAACAGTCATTGCTCCCGAACCGGATGTTGCGCGCTCAAATGCTTTTCACGCCACTGGCTACAAATCATTCGGCTGCAAAATATCAAAAACGGAAACAAAAAGGGGCGAAAATCAAACTATTCGTGCATGTACACGATTTTGGTACCATGTTACCGGGCCACTTCCCTTAAGCTGGACAAATATATTACGAGGCAGCAATATCCGATTTTTTATAAACATTCTAGCCTTGCCGATGTTTGCCATCGGAATCAAAGCAAAGAACATGTTAAAAGAAAGGTAAAACCCGTATTGTGTGTTGGTCTGAAATAAAGTACATCTCTGTTAAAAGAGATAAAAAGGAACTACCATCGTGGTTTAAAACCACCAACCGCTGTAATTGGTGAAGCCTTTCCAAAAATCTGCGTGTGTCATGCCAGGCAGCGGCTCCTGTGGCTTCTTTAGGCAGTCCATCAACAGCACCTTCTCCCGTCCGAAACGGTTGTGGAAATATTCGGGAAGCCAGATTTCAGGCTGCGATAGACGCTGGTGCACGCCTCCGACGATCACAGGATGTCCTGAGCACCAAGACCAGCGCTTTCATGAGAGATTTAATTATTACATGTTATGAAAGCGTCCAGCAGCCGCGAAAAATAATTATCTCAATTGAATTTACTAAAAATCACCAACACAAAATGTGGCTTAAAAGTTACTTTTTAAACAATTTAATAACTGGACAACTATTAGTTCAGCATCCTATCGCGTTTTATCATTTGCACATCCCAAAATTGCACTAGCATACTGCATATGAAGCCGGCAAAATTTGGCATGTTCACGGTTAACGGCCGGCGACCACATTATGGGCGAAATGTTCACGGAAGAAATCATTCTTCCTTGTCCTAGAATTATCTTACATATCCACTGAAATAATCGTGCGTTACCTATTCCATTCAGGAAATAACCAATAACATGTTTATGCATGTACTAACGGACGGCAAACTTATGCTTTCAGAAAACGGCCAGAATCATAACTGTTATTTCTGGCTTTGGTTGAACGTATACTCGTAATGCAATAACCGACATAGTAGCTGCGCTATTTTACTCCAACAACAGCCACACGATCGAGACTTTCCGTTCACTTCATATAAAAAGTGCAGCTTAAGAAAAGTTAGAATTAGGTGTTTCACCGCTGTTGAAAGGGTATTCGTGATCACGTGAGCTGACGCTCGCACGTTGAACTTGACGTTTGCAGCTTGCACAAATAATTCTTCAGTTTTTTTGTAGTCTCTCGAACTGTATCCTAATACCAACTAAACTAACTGGGCATTGGGCAAGCCGATATAAAACTGTAACTAAAGGTGGCAGAAAATCGTTGAAAGATCTGTTCACAGTAACTAATGATGATCTTTGTCGCTGCAGGAAATGAAAATTAAATACTTATGCACTTACAAATACCGATGTAAACAGTTACGTGTTTTAATTGGCTTTGCAAATGAATAATTATTAAGTGCACAGTAGGATTTGTTGTCTTACAGCAATGGAGCAGTGCTTTCTTCTATTATTATTATTATTATTACGGCACAAGAGCAGACAAGTGAGACAACCCCAAAGAGACCTCAAGTCTGGTCGAAAGTAACTAAAGTAAGTAATAGACAGTAATTATTGTTACACTTTAGTTACTTTGCTTGTCCATTGCCCATATTCAGCAACGACTCTGCAATCTGCATTACATTTGTTAACCGGAGTGCCGCATAGAGGCTTATATTTGCAAAAACCTGGTACCGTGCGGTAATCGGATACCATTGATGTTAGTCGCTCTTGTAAGGAGAGCTGTACGGTAACCGCGCGATAAGTTTGCACCACAGAGTGCGGTACATGGAAATCGTCATACACGCTGCAGCACGTTCTACGTAACGTGTGCGCTGTCCGATCGGGGGCAGGCAGCGCCCGGATCTAAAAGTGGTACAAACTTATAGCGCGGCTACAGTAATTCTTCGTCGGCTGTGTGTACGCTGCGCTCGATAACATTGGCGCCAGGCAGGGATGTTCACGTTTGTGAGCATGCGTGCCGCCCGGCAGGGATGTTCACGTTTGTGAGCATGCGTGCCGCCCGGGGATGTTCACTTTTATGAGGACCTGCTCCGAGCCGGTTTTCTTAACGTGTACAAACCATAAAACACTTTTGTTTTGTTAGTGATGAACATGAAACTAGAAAACAATTTGTATGAAAGTAAACCGATTAAGTAGAGCGTTTAACGCAGCAAATGCAACGGCAGCACTGCAGTTTCGCCTTACCACGCACACCACATCTTTAGCAACGTCTTCGCATAGAGTATCGGCAAAGGCTTAGTTTTTAAGCCAGTTTTATGCATAATTTGTTCATTACTATGTACAGCATGCACACGTATACGAGGAGATGAACGGTAGCGCATTTTAGCGTTCCCTGTACTTGCTGCTTTAAGGCGGCTGGAGTATGACTTTGTGGCTAAACATGGTGCTTATATACCGCGCCAGATTTAGCCATCTGTGCTGCCGTAACGTCACGCTCCAGACAGGTGACGGCAACAATACAGGGGATTGAAATTCGCTACTGCCAACTACGCGTGGTGTTACTGCGCCAGCCACATATCCTTTTGTTTGGAGAGCGATTCATATCATAAGTAGCCGTATCATGACCTGTACATCCCTACCCGGCACTCATGTTCACAAGCGGCCAATCTGGCGGTAGTAATCAAATTAAGGGATTTGGCCCGGTACATAGCATCAAATTCGTGTACATCCATGGGAACTTTGGCTGTCGCCCACTCTCAAAAAGTTTTTTGCCTTTCTTTGCACACCGAACCAGAGTTGTACAATTTTTGTTCAAATTTTAAAATGAATACTAAAATTTGGTTCGTTTAAAAACGATTTTTATGCTAATCTCTACATATTAAGAGCGTTAGCCTTAGCAAAATTCCGTTCGTATTTCCTTTTCTCAAACGATTCACTAAACCACACTTCGGTGTCTGTAGATCATTCAATAGCGCTGAGATCATGGATTTGCAAAAACGGGTTTGTTTTTCGGACAATTTAACGTGTGGAAGACAATTTTGAAAAAGTTATAGCGTACGAAGTCTATGGCAAAGTGAGGAAGCCACCACTGCAAAACCAAGCCCGTCACCGCTGTAACACATCATCCACAAACGCAGTTCTGGTAATTCCGTTTAAGCGCTGCACGGGATCAAGGCTCATTGTTCATGTGTTATACAGTGGCATTCGAGCTTATTAAGTTTTCATCGAAAGACTGTTTTGAGAAAGAAAATGAAAGGTTTGGGAGACTTTCAAAAGGTTCACACGCTAATTAGTGGGAATCGTTAACTGCATAATCAGCCTGCCGTCGCGGTCTGATCAGTTTCGAAGTTGCAGCGCCTTCATAGAGCGGGTAATATATGATCGTTTCTCCTACACTATACGTAACGGAGAATACCGCCAAATCCCATCAATGATCTTTACTGTAGCCGCACACGATAGATAATGATTCGCTCAATCACAACTTCATCATGGCGCTGAGAAATCAGCATAGAAAACAGACGTCTTTAGACACAGATAGCTACGTGAAGATAGTTCACAACAATTGCATAAACGCCGGATTACGCCGGTGAGCAACACTGTATACATGACTATGCGTCACACAGCACTCCCGTTCTTAAGTTTGAAGCACGGCGAAAACCAATCACTTTGAGAAACGGAACATAACTTGAACGATTGGATGACCGTAATGAAGGAAAACGCTATATAAAAATTACATGAAAGAAGAGGTGCAAGCGTTAAGGCAAGGCATTACGGCGAGGGTTCCCGTAGGGTCCGGGTACGAAGTGTCCGGATAACGGGGCGATCGGTTTCGTCGACGGGCTCGTCCGGTTTCCTGGCAGGACGACGAGGTTTGGTGACGCAGTCCCGCTCAATTTCCACGCGCAGCTCGGGATCCACGTCCTCGACGGGAATGTCCCACTGTGAATCAGTGTCACCCATTAAATCCAAATCAGACAGAGGCTCCGTGAACAGTTTTAGTCTCTTTACGTGGACAACAAGAGTGTTTTACCACGTTTTTTAGTACGCACAGACTGGATCTCGTAGTTAAGCTTTGATTTACGGCTAACCACTTTGTACGGTCCAAAGTAATGTGCGATTAATTTTGGAGACAAACCAACAGGAGTTACCGGCGTATACAGTAACACCAAATCACCGATTTGGAATTCACGCGGTTCTCTTTTGATATTGCCGGTCAACATATAACCAGCTTGGACATTCTCAATATTAGCTTTTGCAACATCACTAGCCAGTTTAAGACGCTCAACGAGAGCCTGACTGTATTCGTGCATGTTATTCAAATTGTTATTCGGAAGTGCACCAAGCTGTGCGTCCATGACTGAACGGCACTCACGCCCGTACAACAAATAAAATGGTGTTTTATTTGTCGAGGCTTGCTTACTGGTGTTGTAAGCTGTAGTGACATATGGGAGATGTAGGTCCCAATCTTTTTGATTATCACTGACATACAGGCTAAGCATAACGGCTAAAGTTTTATTGAACCGCTCAGTCAATCCATTACACTGTGGATTGTACGCTGTTGTGTTCAGATGCCGCGTTTGACATAGCACTAGAACTTCCTGAACTACATCTGACAGAAATGGACCACCTTGGTCACTCAAAATTCTTGACGGCGCACCGTGACGCAGTATTACTTGATGCACCAAGAAATTAGCAACTGCAATAGCGGTCTGCGCCGGAATAGCTTTGTTTCCACATATTTTGTCAAATAGTCAGTACAGACTATGACATACCGGTTGCCTTTAGCGGTACGGGGAACAGGACCAAAAACATCCACTCCCACCATCTCGAATGCAGTGCCCACTGGAATTGGTTCAATAAGACCACCGGGTTTATCAGTTGGGACTTTACGAAGTTGACATTGTCGACAGCCGCGTATGTACTTACGCACATGATCACGCATGCGCGGCCAAAAGTAGCGCTGACGCACACGAGTATACGTGCGCCAAAATCCCAAATGACCGGATGTACGCTCGTCATGACAAGCGAACAATATGTCACGTCGCAAATGTTTTGGTACTACGAGGAGCAGTACGTCTTCCCCGTCAACTAACGCTTTGCGATACAACAAGTTGTTTTTCATGGTATAACACACAGTGTCGCGAGACACCAAACCGATTGCCAACTTGTCAATCACATCACACAGTCGTGGGTCTTGCACCTGTTCATAGTGGAAATCTGGAGTGTCGGTCATGGCTACTAACATGTCCATTTCGACATCAGCACTGTCAGCTGGTTCGACGGGATGTCGCGATAGCGCATCCGCATTCTGGTGACGTTTGCCGCTACGGTATACAATTTCAAAATTGTATTCTTGTAACAAGACCGCCCACCTGCTCAGACGACCGGCTAATTCACGCCGGCTCATAAGCCAACACAGTGCACAGTGGTCTGTCACAATGCGAAACATCTTACCATACAAATAAGGTCGTAACTTTTTAACCGACCAAACAATTGCCAGACACTCTTGTTCAGTGACCGCATAATTACGTTCTGCGGGACTGAAACTTTTGCTAACGTACGCCAACACCCGTTCGCAGTCACCCAGTTTAGATACTAAACATGCGCCTATTCCAAGGCCGCTAGCATCGCAGTGTAGCTCGATCTCAGCATTTGGATCATAATGAGCTAAAATCGGCGAACTAATTAGTGCGTGTTTGAGTTTTTCGAAAGCAACCATCTGTTCGGAAGACCACACAAACGGTTCGGTTTTTCTCGTTAACCGTACCAGCGGTTCCGATAGACCGGCAAAATCCCGTACAAACCGACGAAAATACGAACAAAGTCCTAAGAACGACTTTATGTCCGTGACATTTTCTGGTACTGGATAATCTGCGATTGCCAACAGTTTATCGGGATCGGGACTAATACCATTACGGTCAACGACATGACCAAGGTATTTGGTGCAATCGGACGCGAAAACACATTTTGATGGTTTAAGCACAATACCTGCGTGGCGAAGCTTGCGCAGTACGGCATCAAGGTGCTCCATGTGCTCTTCAAACGTCTTCGAATAGATGAGTACATCATCTATGTACACTATAACAAACTGCCATCTGAATTCATTCAGTATTTTGTCCATTGACCTTTGAAAGGTCGCCCCGGCGTTACACAAGCCGAAGGGCATACGGCTGAATTCATATAAGCCGTCAGGCGTCACAAAAGCGGTACGGTCCTTGCTGGACTCCGCTACGGGGATCTGCCAGTATCCCCACGCCATATCTAAGGAAGTAAAATAAGCGCACCCACCTAACTGATCAAGCGCGTCGTCCAAGCGGGGCATTGGGTACACGTCCTTCTTGGTAACAGCATTGACCCGGCGATAATCAACACAAAACCTCGTTGTGCCGTCTCGCTTGTGTACGAGTACAATGGGAGACGACCACGGGCTACAGGATGGGGTCACAATGCCTTGGCGGAGCATTTTATCAACTTCTGTACGAATGACAATACGCTCGGCCCACGATCGCCGGTAAGGAGGTTGGGACACTGGCAATGCACTGCCTGTGTCTATAACATGCGAAACTCCTTTTACTTCGCCAATAGGGCGTTCAGCAGTGGGAAACACGCTTACGTGTTTGCGCAACACAGCGTGCAACTGTTCAGTTTGATCGGCAGTTAAATTTGCACCACACTGAAGTTCTGGGAGTTCACACGTTTCAACCACCGAGCACTCTGGAACGCGGTCAACATACATTGGTGTCGCAGACGCAATATTCTGACCCTTACCGATTGTTTGGGTCATGCGAGAGAAATTTGCACACGCCAAATAACACACATTGTTGACAATTTTGACTAGCGCGTTTGATGTACGTAACCCTTTTTGAGCGAACGTGTTAGCGTTTGGGGAAACTATAAACTCCATATTTTCTGGTTTCACACGGCCAGGAAATAGATTACGGTTTAGTTGACATTTCACCCAAGCTACGTGACCAGCGGGAATGTGCACTTTGCGACTTGCAACAAGATTCCGCGCTTTCCATGGCCTGAACTGTTCGCCATCACGTTCATCAAAGCGCCGTATAGTACGACCGGCATAATCAATTACTAGATCCGTTCGCATCAGAAAATCATTACCGACCAATAATTCACGATCGTACGTGTCTAGCACAAGTACGTTAATTTGGTGCGAACAGTTTGCCAATAACACATCAACACAAATAGTGCCGACAGGCGATATCAATTTGCCACTAACACCTTTAACGGGCCGCCCGGTATATGACTGAATACACAGATCTAACATCTGTGCACAGTGCACACTCATAATCGTTACAGCGGAGCCGGTGTCAATCACAGCAGGCACGGCCATACCATTAACATATGCCGTAGTGCAAACTGGAGCCGGAACAGTTGAATCGTCATTTGGTTCTTCTATCGGAAATGCATCGAAAGGAAAACCAGCAAAATCAGGGGGATCAGACGTATGAGCAGCTAAACCCCTGTACTTAGCTACTCTCTGGAGTTTAAATTTCCCTCACCTTCCGACGGCAGAGCATTTCCATGCTTCGCGTGTGCCGCTTTACGTTCCCGCATGCGATCCCAACACCGGCTTTCTTGGTGACCTTGCCGACCGCAGAAATCACACCGCGACTTGTCGTCTTGGTTCCGTTCAACCGTCACAGCCGGTTTGCGGGATTCGCCATTGCCGCCGTTGCGTGTACCACCACGGCCACGTCCACGAGCACGACCTCGGCCACCGCGACCACGGCCTCCACGGGCACCAGCAGCGCCTCCCCGTACAAACGTTTGCGTCAACACAGGCGCGGCTGACTGAGTCTCGGGAGGTGTCGATGAGCCGGCAGCCATCTGGAACTCTTGCTGCAAACGGGCAGAGATAGCTCTGTCCACAGCCTGTTGAAATTCACTGGACTGCAGCACGTTTGACACGTTTGCTGAACTGACATCACCGGCAGCAGTTTCGTCGTCTTCACTTTGCTTCTGCTTTGCCGAGACTTCAGCTGTCAAAATGACATTTGTGTTAGAACTTGTACGTTCCGAATCAACTTTTAACACCTTGAAACGTGTCAATAACTCTTCCGGTGTTGTCGGATTAAGCACCGCCATATGATTACGTAGGCTTGTACTAAGACCGTTCAACAGGTAGCGCACTTTCATTTCGTTTGATATCGCAGTATCGACTTTATGACAAAGGTCAATGATAGAGTAGTAATATTCAACCAGTCTCTTTATCCTGATTGAATTTGCGATTTTGCAACTTGTTCTGATAGTCCCACTTCTCATCCTCACTGACAAATTCTGTGAGAAATGCAGTACGCAAAGCGTCCCAAGTCGCAAACGGCTTTCTGAGGTTATACCACTGCTTAGCGGCACCAGCCGTCAAGTAGAACGCAAACCGTTCATTTTGGTTTTGTCCAGCCAATTCGACATGGTCGCTGCTTCTTCAAACTCCTTCATCCATTCACGAGCGTTATGCTCTGAAGGCTTGAATTTATCGCACTGCAGCGGACCACTTACTGGAGCGTCTGTTGCGACCTTTACAAGACTCTGTAGGCCATCAGTAAGTGCTTTAACTTGTGCATCCATATTGACACTTTCAGTATTATTAACGTCAACGAGAACCGTTGCAGTACGTTCTGGTATATCGGTCAAGAAAGGTGACTGTGTACCTGTCTCAACGAGTGGCGAAGCGTCACTTTCAAGTATAACAGCCGACTGTGTTGAGCTTAATGCGGTAACAGGCTCATCGTCATCTGATATTAATTCTTCATCAGATTTGATTTCGCCCTGGGCACGCCTGACCTTTTTCGGTTTTGGCAATTCGCCTTCTGCAAACTCTGCTTGACCGTCTGAACGCAACGTCCGTCCTCCGGCTTTTTTTAATATGTCTGCTTCTGTATACGGAAAAGTCTGTGTAGCAGCTTTCGAACTTGAAGCTACAGTTATTGAACTTGCGACAGGCTTATCTGCTGCTGCAGTTGCAACTGACTTATCTGCTTTCTTAGTTAGCGGTTGCGTTGATTTCCGCTCTTGTCGGACATTAACGTCGACAATTATTTAACCAAGAATAGCATTACAAATAATGTTGGATTGCGCCTGGTGCAGCATGTATCCCAACACGACATTAGCAGTCAAACTACCAGCAGATAAGAGAATTAACAGTTGAGTTGACCACGAGCAACAGCTCATCAACTTTCTGATCGGTGCTACTATACAGTTCAAAACTTTACACATTTTGAACAAAAGCAACAACCAAATATTGTACGATATGCGATTCTTGTACGAATATTACATTCAAAAGAACTATCCGCTGAATAACGGAATCACATACCCAAAGCCGCTTCCACCGCCTTTAAACGTTCATTACAGGTGTCGTAAAGATGGGTATAAAATGGATCAATAACGGGAGCCGTCATATCGACTGAGAACAGAAAGGTCACCGGGCTATTACGGTTGCTAAACGCATCCACCCAGGAGCGCCATAATATATGATCGTTTCTCCTACACTATACGTAACGGAGAATACCGCCAAATCCCATCAATGATCTTTACTGTAGCCGCACACGATAGATAATGATTCGCTCAATCACAACTTCATCATGGCGCTGAGAAATCAGCATAGAAAACAGACGTCTTTAGACACAGATAGCTACGTGAAGATAGTTCACAACAATTGCATAAACGCCGGATTACGCCGGTGAGCAACACTGTATACATGACTATGCGTCACACAGCACGGGTGCTGTAGTGTTTGTTGCGAAATTTCACTTCACCCTTTTTGGGAGCGAAATTGTTTATTTGTTCCTGACATTTTTGGTTGACTGAAATCCCGGGGTGGACCAGACCCTTGCCGTTAGAATTTGTGTGAGGGTTGGGTAATGGCCCCCTGGCCGAGGTCATCTATGTCATTAAAAACATAACATTGCGTCCAGTTTTAACCAATACAAAATTGTGCGTAAACATTTACACTGCTACCAGTTTAACTGTTTGTTGCTTTACGATACAGACATTGGTTCCAATTTCCAAAATTAATATCACAAAGAATTCGGCAAGCTGAGAGGAAGTGTAATTTTTATGCGAGCGCGGTTTTGTGTTCTTTAGTTACTTACAAAAAGGCTAAAACATAACCACGAACACAGTATACAGGAGTGCTGAATTTTATCCCCAATGTATAGAAAGCCTGCAACTCCATGCATAACTTCATTTGTGAGCATTTTCGCCCGTCAAAAATTCTCACAAGCATTTTCGCCCGTCAAAATATGCTCACACCGTGAACCGTGAAGAAGTGAACATTATGTCATACATACGAGTACATCGCCGGTCACCTGATATCGGTATACAGCGCGATTCTATTTTTGCCGCCAGAGAATGCGTGACTGCCCTAGTAAGTGACACCGCATTTCTGTTTCGAAACCTATAGTTTTATTCTTCCAATTTACAACCACTTGTGGTTAACTGAGTAAGTAAATTACCCTTGACGGCATGCATAAATGTACATGGACGGCAGCGAATAAAAATAACATACTGGCTGTATTACATCGCAACCCAGTGAACTCACCTTTCGTCCATTCCAGTCGAAACTCTTCCAGCGCTACAACTTCTTCGCGTCCGGCTGGAATACGATGGATGTGTCTTTCGGTCAGCAGTAGCGGGTCCGCCTCGGCCGTCTTCTTCGGGGGAAATTCACGGGACCCAGCCAGCTCATTGCACCGCATCTTGATTGCATCTACCGCTGCAAAAATTCAAGCGGAAAGATTCTCAATATACTTTTGTAAAGAAATGGTCTTTCTCTGGAAATACCTGTAAAGCAATTAAATAAAAAATACTCACAATTCACATGTAGTATAATCAAATACGAACAATCCACATTTCAAATGACACATAATACCTTATACAGATGCTTAAGTACACTTTAAAAACTAATTTAATAAATTTAACAGTTTTTATTAAATTTTACAGATTTCTGTCAGCAAAAATTAATTGGCAGCAAAAGCGAAAAAATAGAGGGTAAAATTTCCTAGACAAGGATAATTTCGCCCTATCCAAGCGTGATAACCTTTTATAGGAATCAGGCGTGTGGTGCGCAGCTCGTGCTTGAATTCGCTGGCGGCCATTCCGTCTGCCTGCGCCTGCGTAACGCCCCGAGACAAGGGTTTTGTTGGGTTGGCGCAACAGGCCGGCCAGTTGTATCTGTCCTGCGGAATTTCCCTCATCTGAAGGAAATCATCCCGGTTGTACACGGCATTCTTCAGTTTGCCTTTTTCTCCTGCAAAAGTGACAGCAAAACAGAATCAGTGCATTACTGGATCAAAACATTTTCGATCAAGGGGGATAGAAAAATCGGCGTGAGTCTGTAGTGGCGTGGTAACCGCTGACACCGAAATTACAATTGTGAACGAAAAATCGGCGTGAGTCTGTAGTGGCGTGGTAACCGCTGACACCGATTTTAATTAGTTTAAATTTGCGCAGGCTTAAGAAAAAAAAAAAAAAAAAAATTGTGAACTTTAAACTTGTTATTCCGCATATAAATATCTGTAACTGCCCCAGAATCAGTCGATAAGGATGCGAGCTGAAAGACATAACAAATGCCGAATTTGCAGAGAAAAAGCCTCTTGAAGCCCAAATAAGAAATGAGTAAAAGGATCACAGAATAAAATATGTTGATTACTCTTGTATGGCAAAAGCAATACAAGACAAAAAACTGACAAAAAATTCGTAAATGACCATATTCACATTTTAGATCGGAGCGCAGTGAAGGTCCTCTAATTCAGGCTAAATGAAAAACTGTCTGTCTGTCCGTCCGTGTTTGTTACGGAAGCAAAAGATGATGTCTTATGCGGAAGTAAAAAATGACGTCATGGGAGGATAAGGGACCAAGAGCGGATGTCGGATTTTCTTACGCTCAGTTGTACAGCATTTACCGGATAAACATGCATATAGCTACGTACTACGTATTACGTAGTAAACAGGCGTATGGTAGCTGGCATATGGCGTTACTAACATACAAAACACCCGAAAATTACCCTTTTTTTAACTAAAATGCGGAAACATTTGCCATATTTTTGGCTACAGGCCCACGCTTGGGCTACAGCCTGCAAGTACTCACTCGATGTGTGGGACACGTTTATACCGAAGTGCACTAATGCCCTTATACCGGGCATCAGTTTCAACAGTTGTTTGGAAATCTGATCCCTCAAACCCTGTAACTACGTATTTTAACACTCGTTCAATGATCCCCGCTCTGTCTATTTTTTATACAAGAAACAGCCTCGGCTTCGCCTCCGTGTTTCTTGTGGTCAACGGCAACTTTATTTGGTTTTCAATGAATAGGTATTTATAGGTATGAATAACATATTTCGTCGAAGTATTAATAATCGGTACATCGTATTAGCGCAAAAAAACGGATTTTGTATGAAACACGGGTTTGATTTTTCTACGAGTATGATTTTTTTAATCAGTTCATGAGTCTCTCAAATCACCATAAATTCCCACAACTGAATTCATGATTCTGTGAACCTTAACCTGAACAATCTGGATAGTGGAAGCTCGGTCACTGGTTCTGCAAGTACTGGTTCTGCAAGTGACGAATCTGTGCAATGGACAGAACTGCCTGCTTGGTCCCTCGTTCACCTAACGGATCCGGTACACTGGACAGTACCGGTAGCTCGGTAACCCGCTTACCTAACGGGTCAGGTACACTGGACAGTACCGGTAGCTCGGTCATTCGTTCGCCTGACGGGCTCTGTTGACCCGCTAGTTCGGTCACCGGCTAGCTAGGTTACCTAACGGGACATTTGTGCTGGACAGTATCGCCTGCTTGGTCACCCGATACCTAACGGGTCCCGTACACTGGACAGTACTATTATCTTGTCATTCGTTCGCCTAATGGGCTCTGTGCACTGGACAGTATCGCCTGCTTGGTCACCCGCTTCCCTAACGAGTCCCGCACTCTAGACAGTACTGGTATCTCGGTCACCCGATACCTAACGGGTCCCGTACACTGGACGGTACCGGTTGCTCGGTCAATCGTTCTCCTAACGGGCTCTGCATGCGCTAGCCTCGGCTTCGCCTCCGCGCATTAAACAGTACCGGTAGCGCATTAAACAGTACGGGCTCCGCGCATTAAACAGTACGGGCTCTGCGCATTAAACAGTACCGGTAGCTCGGTCAATCGTTCTCCTAACGGGCTCTGCATGCGCTAGCTCGGTCACCGGCTAGCTCGTTTGCCTAACGGGCTTTTTGCGCTGGACAGTACCGACTGCTTGATCACCAGCTCACCTAACGGGTCCCGTACCCTGGACAGTACCGGTTGCTTGGTCAGTCTTTCGCCTAACGGACTTTTTGCACCGGACAGTATTGGTAGCTTGGTCATTCGCTCGCCTAACGGGCTCCGCACACTGGACAGTATCGGTAGCTCGGACACTCGCTCACCTAGCGGGTCCCGTACACTGGACAGTACCGGTTGCTCGGCCACTCGCTCGCCTAACGGGCCTCGTACACTGGATCCTGCCGGTAGTTTGGACTCGTGCAGAAATTGTCCTCGATGACAGCGTTACATATATAGTCCTTCTTGTCGTAATAACGGTCTGCTAATTAAATTCATGCTAATAGTTTAAAAGTAGAAATGACTTTCTTGTTTTAGCTATATTTTAGTTGGTTTACGTGGCAACATTGCCTGGTTAAAAATACCCCGATAATACTTAATACAATAATTTAGTTGCATTTGGTGATGGTAGTCAAAACTCTTCCGCTTTGGCGTTCCAAGCGGGAGAGGTTTTGAAAGAAATGAATACTATCTGGCCGGGTTTTCGACTACGGGCTTTCAGAATATAGTATTGGTTTGGGTCAGTCTTTTCTGGTTTGCCGGCTCTGGTGTATCCCATTCGTGGCTATATAGATCTGAATTAGGATAATTCTTGGCGTGATAACGCTGTACTTTGTAGTTTAGCTGGAAATAGTTTCCAAAGGCCACGAATTGCCGGAAATTAATTTACCATGCATGTTCTCTGGCTAAAGGGTCACCGCTTTGGTGAGTATGCAGCGGATTGGGCTATAAATTTCCCCCATTAGCGAGCCGCTGAATCTAAAATCCTGCTGAATTTGCTTTGCTCTTCTCTCCATTGAAATACTAAATTTCGCAAATCACCCGTAACATCAACCATTCCTTTTCAGCCCAGATAAGAGCTGCGCTCTGGTATACTAATGCACCGTTCGGCGTATTTTCGTGTTGGTATCAAGTATCATATTAATTTTAATTTACCTAATTTTTATTATTTATGCACAACAATAAAAACAAAAATTTCCGCAGAAGTATGGAGTATATGACTATAACAAATTCGACAATTAAAAGCCTAACCAACAGAAAACTGATTAATTTACTGTACTTTTCCGCACTTTAGCCAATTTATGCAATAACTACTGTATTTACAAGTAACTTTAAGCGAAGTAAGCCTCCCGCCTCCGGCGACCGGGACGCTCGAATTAGGCTTATGAAGGAATACTAAACTAAACATTGGGCAAAGGCCATCAGTATAACAAAAAGTGCTTTCGCGCAATACTACTTAAAATGATACAAATTTAAACGTTAAGAAAACAAAATTAATGTTAAACGTTAAAAAAATACAGAGGAATAGTAGACTAGAACGTACTGTTGTACAGTGGTCCGATATTCTAGTAACGACTCACTGTACGTCGAAACGATTTCAGACCAACACTTTCTA